AACATACTTTCCCTTCATATATACACTGTACTATACACTGCTACATTGTTACATTGTGTGCGTGTGTGTGTGTGTACGTGTGTGTGTGTGTGACCTCCAGTCCTCAACCTGTTTACCTACTTGAGATGTGTCTTAGAGAGAGAGAGAGAGGGGGGGAAGGAGGTGGTTCATGTATTTGTGCTGTCATTTTTGTAAGTAATGTTGCTGCTCTTGTTTGGCCTCTAGTTGTCTGCTCAACCATTTTGAATGCCAAAAATTTAATAAAAATGTTACATAACATGACAGCTGTCCTTAGAATTATGATGAAGAATTTGTTGATAGTTTATACAATCTTTGGTGTTAGGACTGATAGCCTTCTACCTTGTACTATCAGTCATTACTGATCCTCCTCCCCCTTCTTAATAGGAATCACTTCTATTTCTGGAATAAGAAAACTAATGAAGTTTCCTGGTACCCACCAGCTAAAAGTAAAAGAAAGCAATAACATTATCATTAAATACTTGTATCTCAATGCAGCTACCTACCAGCCAAAGCAGACATTAGCAGAGGTATATGATAATGTACTCCTTTACTCTTTATTGAATGTGTATATTGTTTTAAGAGTGTATGTGTGTAGATTGAGCATTATACTTACAAACAAGCCATCATGTGTTATATCATTAAAGGTGTACTGATTCTGTTGGTACATGTACCATGTCACTAATGTATTACTTCATGTGCCTCTCTCTGTGTGTTTGTAACTAGCTCCTTTATTGTGTGTTCACATACACTCTAGGTCCTCATTATTTCATACTATTATTATGCATTTATTTATTGTGTGGTTTTACGAGTGGTACCAATGTTCATTAAGAGTTGCTCCTGTTCACTATCTGTACTTCCTCCATTATTAATCACTTGTTTGTGTGTTTGTAATATTTAAATATGAACCAGCAGCTGTGAGTACGTACATGTGTGTTGATGGCACCTGTACATGTAGACACTCTTAGACACACACTCATCTTGTGTGGTCTTCATGCTGCAGGAGCAAAGGAAAAGACTTTCAAGGAAGTCTGGGCCTTCATCTTTCAAGAAAAAGAAAAAGAAATTTAGTTAGTTCAGTTGTAGTATAACCTTAAAGTGTTTGTTTATATATACAGCTGAAGATACTGACCTAGACCCAATGGATCCAGCTGCTTATTCTGATGCTCCAAGGTAATTCAAAAAATAGAATATAACCTGTCTTTATCAGTGTAACCTCTCTTTAAGGGGGACATGGCAGTCTGGTCTGGAAGATAAAGGAGAAGCTAAGACTGGTGTGGACACAACTGCTAATGGACCCCTCTTTCAAATGAGGCCTTACCCCAGCCCTGGGGCCATCCTTAAAATGAATAAAGATATTAAATCATGATTCATGCACTTGCACTTTTATTAATAAAAACTTAACATCAACTGTTTCTTCATTGACATGAAAGACACGCGAATACATTGTAGCCATTTTGTGGTAAAAATATCAAATTTTAGGTGACCTGAGAGCACCTTTAGATTTGTAAATTGTCTTCTAACGGAACATGACTCTACGTCACACCCGTTAGTCATGTATCAGTTGCTGTGAGAGTGGAATGAGAGACAGAGTGTGTGTTCTAGTGAGTGATGCTCTTCAGAATGTCCTTCTTGTATTTCCTGTAACCTCTACTCCCTGGTATGACTGGAATGTGTTTATAGATTAAGAGAGGGTTGAGTGTGTCAGCAATTTGTTGCTAAATTTATTTATTGTATAATTATTATTTTATAATTAAACAGGTTAAATGCCAAATTAACATGTCAATATTGTATAGATATTATACAGGTCATAATGAGTTGCACATACAGTGATACATACAAATGAACATAAATTAGTACAAAAAATGAATACATGTGTATTACAGTCTGTTAAAAAGAGATTGAAATGAAAATGGTGATTATAAAATGGTTAAACTGAATTGACGACCTCGTGTACTATATAAGTCTCTCTGGGAGGAGTCTTTCTTCTGAAGTACTGATACCGGAAGTCATTGTTCTGTCCGTACTTGTACGATAAGAAACAGCCAAAGAGAGCAAAAGCAACCACGACTAGTGCTGTACAGA